GAGCAACAGTTGTGAGAGCGCAGAGCGTGTTTGTGTGTGTGTGTGTGTGTGTGTGTGTGTGTAACACATGCAGTTACTAAGAATATAAGCACAATATTAGGCCAATTATTCATTAAGGAATTTGGAGTGAAAAATACCACAGCCTCCACTGTTGGTGAACATTTTGGTCCCATCAAGGCCATTGTAAAAATAAATGTCAGTTTAGGCTCTAACAATGTTCTAGTGATGACTAGAAACGCGAGAGCAGTTTCTAACTTCCAAAATTCTTCAATGTTAAAGACAAGAGTGGGGCCAGAGTGCTGACTAAAAGGCAGAAAATTATACTTAGAATGAAGCAGAACAAGGTCACAGGCTCACTGACAGTCTGCTAGCAACATGACTCCCACTCTGACCTGACACGAAAAGCATTTCCTCACAAGAACTCAAGAGACTGAGCATTACTATCAAAACGGCCGGTAAAAGAGATAAATCTAAATTACTCAATGCAATTCTAGAGCCAAAGCTATGAACAGTAAGAGTAACAGCACAGGATACTTTCAACCAAAAATGCTATTTTTGTTAACAAAAAATTTTGAAAAATATAATCAAGCTTCCTATTTTAGGTTGACCTCAGGTTTTGTATTAATAATATATCACAAGCAGCACACAGTCTTAACCTTAGACAAGAAGAGTTTGTATTTCTTGAAGATTTTATCTCTATGAATAGAAAAAAAAATGCTTTTTTTTTTTTTTCCTCCACAAAACAGGAAATAATTACTTCAAGAAGTAGTCATGTTGGAAAAAGAGAAGGAAAAAATTTGTGGTCCTAGGGACAACAGTAATAGAACGCCTAGTTGAACCGTGTCAGGCCACTAAGGCTCAAAGAAACAGCATGAAATTGAACACGTCTGAAAACAGTACAGGTCACTGGCTTGAGGTAGAGCTCACTACTTACAATGCCCCAATGCAATATGGATGCTAGAGTTGTAAGTTAAAAATAATTTTTTTTAAATATAAAAATAAATAAATGATTCGCTATTCTCCATAAAGATATTCAGTGTTTTAAATGCACAAATAAGTATATTTTTAAAAAACTGCCTATAGGGTTGAAATTGTTAGTTCTCAAGGAATGGTTAAAAGTTCTCATCCATTCAGTTAACACTGATTTGTTCAGGTTCTATGACATGCTGGACACTACAAGATACACATCAGAGGTAGTGAAGTCATTCAAGTAAAAGGTATTAATACCCCAATATGTAGAAGACCCAAAAAGTGCTCAGATACTAAAAGTCTGATCATGATTTACTGGTGTTCATATGTGTGTTTAAGTTGTACAAAGCAAGTATGGGTAAGCTAGTTCAATGAAAGCATTTTACACTTTAAAAAAAGAAAATTTCTGTACCTAATTTAAAATTATTAGGGTAACGTTTAGTTGCTAGATTTATTCTTTATTCTGTAACTTTTTTTTTTAAATTCATGCACTGTTGAACACTTTTTTTCAAACAATGATTATTTTTTAAATCTAACTTTATTTATTTATTTAAATTTGTCCAGAGGGAAAGA